AAAAATATTGGTACAAATGTTTGAGTATGACTAGATTATTTTACTGATTATTAATAATGGAATATTTATTTTAAAAAATGAGTTACATTTTCTTCATTGACCTCTTACACTCTTGAATTCTTATTTCCAGTAATTTTGCAGAATGTGGTGTTTTCTTTCAAAACTTTCTATAGGTGTTACATTCATTAATAACACTTGTTTCTTAAATTCAGTTCTAACATGACATAATTTTCAACATACTGTATCCCTAGTTGGCATGAAGATTACCATACCCACAGTTTCATTATGTTATGGTATTTATTTATTAAAGTTTGCATTTTTAAAGGCAAATTATGTTTGTTTTATTTGTGTATTTATCCAAAACTATCTCATATTACTAAGTAACAGCATGTTCCTTCAGTTCATGGGCCCTAGGCAGGAATTCTACATGGGTCCACCCAATAATACCATAACCACAAAACCTGATCTCCGAATATCAATAATGATTTAAACATGTAGCGATAAAGGTCATTATTGCTCATGGGCCATGGTGAATGGTTAACACAACTCAACAAACTCATGGGTGGGGCCTCCTAAAATTGGAGGGCCCTAGGTGTTTGCCTAGCTCACCCAGGTCTACAGATGCCAGTGTTACTGAAAAAACTCATTTACATAGCTGTCATTCTGTATGTGTCACATTTAGGCTTTTTAGTTTTTAATTGCTTAAGAGTGAGAAAATTACATCAGAGAAATAATCAGTAATATCAATTGTGATCGTATCCATTATAGTTGGCATACTGAGCATCACTTTAAAGAAATGGTCAGTACATGTTGTAGATGTGTGTGACAATGGCCATAATTGTGGATGTAATCTGTAAAGCAGGACTACCAATGCTAAGCCTAAAAAAATGCATTGTATTCCAGTCCAGTGTCCTGCTAGGTAACCCTTTTCATTCAAGTAATTCATCATATCAAGAATAAATAATTAAAATATGCTTTAAGGCATTTTCATGGAGAGTGTTATCAGCATAAGAATCATTGATGTAGACAGAATAACTACTATGAAAGATATTTTCACAAATTAATTGAGTAAGATTCAGTACATTATTAGTAATTACCCCAATTTTAAGAGGGATTTCTTTTCTTTTCAGGTGATTTTCTGAATTCCCCCAGCCTACCTCCACTAAGAAAGAATGACTGATCCCCAACTACAAAACCCTTAAATGTTTAACTCTTTATCATCTCCACCTGTTTATTTATGCATGTTAGACATAATCTCTCAAATGTCTCTTGCCCCTGGTTTGTTGTGGTGAAAGCATTGCTACGGTAATAGAAAAAAACTATTCCCTGGATGATAAGGAGTTAAAGCCAGTTATCATTATCACTCTCATACTATGGCAGACCTTTGCAGTGTGATTGATATCCTTCTGATTAGATACACAATGATAAGACTAATGTTTATAACATTACTAAGAATAGGATTGCCACCTGCCTGGATTTAATGAGTTTGCCAGTTGCCAAAAACACAGTTTAATCTGCCATTTTTTGTGAGCCAAAACTAGAGATTTGCATTATTATTACAATACAAAGGGATAATTAATGTCAAACATTTCTTTTCATAGCTAAAAATCATTGTTGCAGTTTTGCCACATCCCCAGTTTAAGTGATAATACTAATAGATCAAAACCACTAAAAATACAGCGACAGTCTGTCTGCTATGTGTGTGAAAGAGTTTTAAAATGTGCTATTAAGTATCATAAATATTGTTTAATATTGTGTATTATCATATGTATATAACTTATCCAGTCATGTGTTTGATTCACTATTTAAGGTATGTTTTGTGTGTGGAGTGTCTTTTTTTTTGTTCCATTTCAAAGTTGGTAACCCTAATTATGAGATAAACTAATAAAGTAGACTAAACTTGTTCTAAACCACGCTCGAAATTTTAATAGAATTTAGAAAGTCTCAAAGACTCCACTTTCTCCATTGCAACCAGATAACCAGTTTAAGTTAAATGACTTAACGCCACACTTGTCTAAGACTTAGCACAATAATCAAAATGTAAAAGCACAGTGTAACTACTCTTATCATTAGTCCATGTTTAATGTAGCTAAGTAACTCAAATTTCGAGTCAAATATTAACCCACAGTTTTAGTTTCTGCACAACGTCAACATTCTCGTCATTCTGCAAATAAAGTAAAACAGCTAGTTATAAAGCAACTGTGGTTAGCTGAAATATTATTTATCTTAAAAGTTTATTTGAAAATTACCTCAGTCGTTGACTAAAATACCAAGCATTATATTTTCGAGACAACTTAGGTATCTGACCTTTCAAAATGGACAGCGCCATTATGTGCTGTTGCTATAAGGTGGATACGAACGTTAACATTAAAACAAAAGGAAATTATATTTTTAAGCATATATTGTATATTGAAAGAATTTTAAACAGCTTCTAAGTAAAATGCGATAAGATTATAATTTTACTTAAAAAATAACTGCTGCATTTAAATTGTACAGAACGAAAAACAGAGCACAAATAATAAAGCGAACAAATTTTCTATAGGTGGTGTGTTTCGGAAATATTCAGAAGAAACTATATTTTACCACGTGCTTGTTGAAATCCTTACAAACGTAGTAAAACCTTGCTACTCATTTTGGGTTGAAATGGATTTTCGATTGTATACTTACTGAGATGATAACTCTTTTAAAAATACGTAGGCCTACAACACTATTCATAATTATTATATAAAACATTGTTAGTAAAAGAACAATACATTTTTTATTGGCTTTATAGTAGTACACATGTATTCTACTAAGCATATAAATAAGCAAAGGTATTAGAATATTGAATTATGTTATTATTAATGAATTTTGATAAATAAATCCATATGGTTAGAAATGAATATACTGTATCTTAAGACATGAAAAATAAAACTTATTCAATGATATTTATGAAATTAAAATCAAACAAGGTAAAAAATACCTTATGGAATCAGTTCAATATGACACTTTTCTTCATTGAGATTTTATAATAGCAGTTTCGTTAATTCAGTAAAAATTATCAGTTTTTAAATGATACAAATATTCTTTAATTTTTGTACAGAACATTCTTTATTTACTAATTTTAATGCTTCGGAAGAGCCGTGTGCAGCCTACTGGTTAGCATGCCGGAATGTGAATTTGAGGGTTCATGACTCACGTCCCGTTGTCAAAAAATCTCGCGCTACACTTTGGGGCCGTGGTTTCGAGAAAGCAATGACAGTCAAATCCCGTTATTCGATTAGAGTAGCCCAAAAGTTGGCGGCAAATGCTGTGTGCTAGCTTCCTTCTTTCTAATCTTTCAGTTCCAAATTAGGGACAGCTGGCGGAGACATTTAGCTGTGTAACTTTACACGAAAATCCGAAACAAACGATTACTTTGAAAGGCATTTTGAATATAAATTTCAAAACATATTATCGTACTCAAATTTTGCTGTATGAAGTATTGCACAATTCTAATAATTCACTTCTTTTCCGTCTTTCCACTCCATTAAATACCTCACTTACATAGTTAATATTTTCTTGTATAATTTTTTTGTCTTTTATATGATCCTTAGCATGAAATAAACTATCCTAATAATTGAATTTTTCAACTCGTTGTAGTTATAGTTCCACGTAATAAACACAACTTATCTTTAATTTCTTTCTTCAAATGATACATATATATACTTGAAGTATTTAACCACACTCCAATATTTATAAGGCATTCTATCCGTAGATCTCCGTTGGTCCAGCGGTAAGTCTGAAGGCACATAGATCTAAGATTTTGATTTCGATACTCGCGGTGGGCGCATAAATAAACAGAAACAACAACAACAACAACAAAAAAAAAAAACGGTCATAAAAATTTTCAACAGATCGTTACAACTATCGCTTTCCAGCATAAAATATAATAGTGCAATTATTATAATTGACCAAAGAGTTCAAAGGACTTAATTTCCTATATGGTACGTCCCCCGACGGGTTAACGGTAAGTTTACAAACTTACATTCGATCACCCGCGGTGGACAAAGCAGACAGACCAATGTGACGTTGTGATGAAATGAACAAACAAACTTATAGGGCACAATTAGATGATTATACAATTTCTTGTTTCTTTTTTTCGTTTTGAGCGTGTTTATATAGTTTATTACATTTTATCTTTCGCTTTCATTAAAGTATAAGTTTTATTTTTTTTAATAAAATAAATAGATAATGAAAATAGCTAATTGATGTTAAAACAAACAAAGGATGTTATTTTATTAATTACCCTAACTCTGATTGGTAACTGATTTGTGCATGGACTGGTGGTTAAAGCATTCAGCTCGCAATCTTCGGGCAACGAGTTCGAATCCCGTCACCAAAAATGCTTGCTTTTTAAACCGTGAGGAGATTATAATGTGACGATCAATCCCACTTTCTGTTGGTAAAAAAATGTTGGCTGTGATGGATTTGACCAGCTGTCTTTCCTTCAGTCTATCATTCCTAGATTAGGGACAGCTAGCGCAGATATCCCTCGAGTAGCTTTGTGCGAAATTAAACAAACAAATTACTCCTATAAAATTGATAACAATTACACCTCAACAACTTAACCTAGTTCACACTATAAAAATTGTTGTTCATGCAATTTGAATAGCATTTCAATCTCTATTGTGCCTGTCTTGTCCCAGCCATCCCAATGAGTCTTGTTATTGACGAACACCTTGTCGGCATTGGATATAGCAAATGTAGTATGACTGGCATATCCTTATACATTTTTCTTTATTTTTACCTATAAGTTCTTAGAATTAGTATTTCCACCTAATAAACTAATAATTATATATTGGATTGATAGTTATATAGACGAGTGCTTTCCACCAAAACTGGATAGTTTTTCTAAACATGTTACTACTGCTACTATTGTAATTCATCATATTAACCATATTTGCTAACAGTAGATGAAAAAAAAAATACTACGATCAGCTGAGAACGTTAAAACGAAGTAACAATAAAAGTAATTTCGATTGTTTTTGAACAAACTTCATTGTATGGTAAAAATATATAACGTTTTAGTTTTGCACCAGACTTTCCAAGAATTTAACTTAACAATTGCGAAGAATGTAATAATGGAACAGAAGTGTCGCCACATCCTATCGAAAACATTGCTTGGAATCCTATTTTAATTTATGTATCATATAGTAGTAATAATACTATCATAGTATGATATTAAGTAACTATAAAATATTTGAAATAACATAATTTACTACTCACCCCAAAGAGGGCAGTACGAATAAAGATCAGCTCTATTACTCCAAGTTGATATGTTTGTTTGTAGTCAAGCGCACATCTACCTGGTTTTTAGCGTTATGAGCCTTCGAACTTGCCGTTGTACCACTGGAGGCTGTCAGCTAAAAATAATGGAAGTTAAAATAAACCAAAATGACATTTTAAGTACTGATGGGCTTAGTGGGTTTTAGAGAAGGATTCTTGAATGAAATACCAAAGATTAGAAAAAGTTGTTACGTTAACATAGAAAGTTGAAGTTTGGTATTTTTCAAATTGTCTGTTTGTTTAGAATTTTCACACAAAGCTACACTATCTGCTTGTAGCCATCCCTAGTTTTAAATGAAAGACTGGAGAGATGGCAGCTAGTTAACAGCACCCACCGACAATGTTTGAGATATTCGTGAGTGACGGAATAATGGGATTTGACTTTCACTCTTATAACACACATATGGTCCCAAAGTGCGAGCCACGAATCCAGGGTTTCACAGTCCGGGAACATTAACCACTAGCCTCGCCAGTCCATTTACATCCTGGACAGTAGCTTATGTGAAACAAGGGCCAAACAGTCAGGCCAAAAACTCATAAGGTTGAATTATAGCCATTGTCGATTATAGCGAGGACAACCAGTCAGCAGTAACATCATTCACCTTCGCGTTTATTTTTATCCTAATAATGGGACTGACTCTCAGGTTTATGACTTCTCCTACAAATAAAAATGCAGAGCTTGTTCAACGATACGGTGCGGCTCGAACCTTAAACCTTCGGATTCGGATTCCGGTACTCTAACTATAAGGCCTCGTCCAGCTATAAAAGATTTGTTAAAATATACGCACTCAGTGTGTAGCATTAAGCTGTCTGTGTACTTTCGAGTTGCCCCCTCCCCCAGTGGCACAGCGGCGTGTCTGCGGACTTAGAACGCTAGAATCCGGGTTTTCTAATCGCGTGGTGGGCAGAGCACAGATAGCCCATTGTGTAGATTTGTGCTTAATTACAAACAAACGAACTTCCGAGTACCGTGGAGCCCTACCATGAAATATGATAGCTAATTTTTAAAGATATATTATATATATTTATAAATTTGTCCCGATAACTTTAAATCAAGTATATATATATACATAATCTTTGTGATCAAGTTATTCTCACCCGAAGCTATAAAACTACATTATTCTCCTAATTGATTGTAATACCAGCTGGTTGTAAGCAAAATATTCTTTCGGAAATTTTGCTTTTCATTAATTGCCGAATAAAACATTAATTCCAATTCCAACTGAATATTTTTACTTCGTTGGCGAGAAATAACTAACAAGGATTAACACTTGTTGTATTGCCTATAAATAAAATAACTGAATTACTTAAATACATGTAACCACAGTTTCTTCAATCCTTGACTTAGGGAGTCAAATTCCGCTGCATGTTTTCGAATTTAGTGTTACACTGAAACCTCCTTTTACAAGCGATTTTATACATTATGCTGGTAATTCAGATTTTTGCTTATTATTAGAGCTGGATGGCCAAGTTTACGGAGTAAATTTTACTTATCACGTAATTAAGTGAAATGTCTTTAATGCCCCATTTTAGCATAGTTATTGCCAAACGTTTCAGTTTTATATAAATCAAACTTCGTTCTCACAAATGGTTACAGAGAGTGGATAGAGATTTAATTGTGAAATAATCTGGTTAAGAGCTCTAATGCTTGCTCCAAGTTTTAGCATGAATTTTTTATCAACATTAAAGCACGTTTACTGTCACAATTCTGAGTTTATTTATCTACCCTCTTTATTCGACAATCCTGGTTCTTGACCTGTGTCTCTCTCATTAGAGCACGGTTCACTGGAACAATTCTGGGTTTATCTGTCCGTCTTCTCTGTTCGACAAGCCTGGTTCTTGACCTGTGTCTCTCTCATTAGAGCGCGGTTCACTGGAACAATTCTGGGTTTATCTGTCCGTCTTCTCTGTTCGACAAGCCTGGTTCTTGACCTGTGTCTCTCTCATTAGAGCATGGTTCACTGGAACAATTCTGGGTTTATCTGTCCGTCTTCTCTGTTCGACAATCCTGGTTCCTGACCTGTAATTCTCTCATTAGAGCATGGTTCACTGTAATAATTCTGGGTTTATTTGTCC